GAATTTGACGTGCATCTTTAGAGACATTCTACTATGAAGATGGAAAATTCAAATCGCTATAACTCCTTAAAAAGCAAATATTTTCGATTTGTAATCGCACTTAGACTAGATGACAAAATTTCAATTATTTGTCCGTCAGACAGATAATTAGAAAATATTACACTGATATTTCTTATTTTCTTTCATGATTAAATAATAACAGTGCTACATCGAATTGAAATGGCGCGATACGTCACGCTTGAGTAGAATTTTTACTTAAAAGTGACGTCACGCGACATTTCAACTCAATATAATACTGTAATTATTGGATTATGGAAAAAAAATAAAAATATGAGACTTATATTTTCTAATTATCTGTCTGACGGACTAAATAGAATTTCGATTTAATCAGTCATCATCCCTATTGTAAAAATTAATTTAGATTAGCAAAATAATTAATAGACGCAATTGTAAAAACTATAATCACTGAATTCAAATCAAATAAAAACACCAGCACACAAAAGAGAGAAATTGTACTTAAATATGGTCTTTGAACATATGAAATATCACAGTGTATTATATTATTAATACACACTATTAAACCAGGTGTGTTGCAACGTTGCAAGACAGTAGTAATTTATTTTTAGCATTAAGTAACTTAAATATTGACACCTGCCAGCACATGTATTTATATCGTTCTAGATAAGTTTTATATCCGTATGATGTTGCCAGATGTACGAGTAACTTCAATATTGTAGAAAATACTGTAAATTTTTATCTTTTAATTGATGACAAAATACACTTTAATACTGAACAGAGCAACTTGTATTTACTATCATTAGATAAGAGCAACATAATTGATAGAAACAGGACTTAATTTATCCTATGGGAAGTCTATGTTCAGTAACAAGTAAGAAGTTAAATGCTAAAGCATTAGAATCTTTGAGGTATGCGATGCACCAGTGAGGTGAACTTTGTGTCAAGAAAAAATAGGACTATTTTCTTTGGTTACACAATATCTATGGTAGGACCAACAATTGACTATTCAATTTACTATTTTTCAACAAATTGTATTTTTAAACACAAAATTTAATAATATGAATCTGAAAGCAAGTCTTTATTACACAAACATGCTCATCTTCACTTTAGAACCCTCCACCTCCAATAAATAAGTCAATGAATACACCAAACAAACGTCTCACAGTTTATACCTACGTCAGAAAATAAAAAGATATGATGAAAGATGTGCAACAATACGGTAGCTATTTCAATATTTGACAGTGCAGACAATGGAACATCTTTGTAAATACAATTTAATTATGTATGAAATACTATTATTATGCAGAGAATACTACGCACATAAGATTTAAATCATCTTTTCCTTATTTGGACATTCATATTACCAACATGCTGAAATGCCAAAACAAAACCAAAGAAATATCAACTATTTTATAGAACATTCAAGAACCATAAGTTACCCTAACTTTAACTTATGATTTACATTTAAATGTTTTTTTACTGACTTTGTGTCATGATGTACCTCACTTGAGGGTAACTCTAGAAAAACCAGTCTGGTACATGTCAGGTGAGTAAGCATGCATGCTCTCCCAAAATTCCCAGATATAATTTGAAACTGACTTGTGCTGAAAAACCATTAAATTTTTTCAATTTATTACAATTTTTAAACCACACACATTCCTCTTGTGGTAAAATGATAGACTTAATAAGGTTTACCAAATTATATGAAAGCGAGACTTGAAAAACATCCATTATCGATCAATGACCATGATATTGTGTTGTCGTTAGATAAATTTTTGAGACACAACTACCTTATTAAAAGACATCCAAGACATTTTGACTACCTGCTGCCCTAACCTCTAACCACCATGTTACAAAACTTTAAAACCACCAACCTACCTGACATTTAAATCCCAAAAAATCCACCCTTTTATCTCCTTCTTAGTACAGTAAATAATTAGGACAAAATCAACCAACGACAGACACTTCACAAGTAAATGATAGAAATGTAAACCACTGAATACCTACTTATTTAGACCAAATTAAAAACGCCAGCCCTGTGTCACAAGGTCAGCTCAATTTCAGATGAAAATCAATAACCATCAGGCAGACACAGTTAGTACCTATTCATGGCAATGCACTTAGCATGTCATTGTATTTTATAGTATACGAAAGGTGTCAAACTCCATCATGTGCACCGTGTAACTGTCACATCAGAGATCTAGACAAAGCTAATAAAATGCCCATTTGAACACAAAATCATGTGTAATTTTTGTGATATGAGATAACAATGATATTACTGCAAAAATTACAGCAAGAAATAAACAAACCACGCGACCAGGGTTTGGAATCGTCGACTCTCATTATGATCACTTTGCCACAACAATGATAACCTAAATAAATAAGACCAGTGAGGCTGTAAATTCAGTCAATAAATTCAGACAAATCTTTCAAAAATCAAGAAATATTGGGAGAAAAACGACAAAAACACAAGCCAACGTTGATGAAGCAAGTATGAAAATGAACGAATGAAATTGAAATTGAATGAATGAATGATCAATAGCAATGACAAATGACAAGCNTTAGTGTCAGCTCATGAGTGAGTATCATCTATCATCATCGGTTGCTAACCAACATCATGATGCGTGCGCTTCATATGATTCTGTGGCGCGGCAACCAAATAAAAAGCCTAACAAAAGCCGGACAGGCCGGACAAGGCAATATTTGGCCGGACAAGTCCCTAAAAAGCCAAACATGTCCGGCTAAAGCCGGACGCCTGGCAACCCTAGGTAGAATCCCCCAATCATATGGGAATATCCACAGTCATTTAACTTATTATGATCCATGTTGTATGTCTTCAGTAGTTTGATTTCGTACTATCCAGGTTAATTCGTTAATGTTCATTTGTTTCAAATATTTCTTCATGTCCAATTTCCATAGTTTTCCAAAAAGGATCATGGATTTCATTTCCAAGTCCATTATTTTAGCAAGCAGTTGTCAGTCAAAGTCACAGATGTCAAAGTAGACGNCGTTCAGTCAATTCAAAACACAACAAAGTGCATCAAAGCAAGTCAAGTCAAAACACGTGTTTAACTGGCAGAAAGAAAGCTATTTACAATATTTACAAACACAACAAAGATTGTAGGAACAGTGTTTAAATAGGTATATACATTTACATATTTACAATTAACAGAATTAGATTTGCCCAACCGTATTGCTGATGAATTTAAACATAGGAATATAACTTGAAACATTTAGAAGGAGATCCTGTATGGAGCACGGGACTGAACCAGGGTTATAAACTTCAATCAGCTCGTCCATAAGCACAAGGCGCTGAATGCCAAAGCACGAGCAGTCAAAAAATATATGTGCTAAGGATTGGTCTAATTGTGAGTTACAGTACTCACAGTGAGGACTGTTGACCATTTTCAAGCGAAAAAGGTGATAATTTAACCGACAATGGCCAAAACGGAGTCTCAAAATAGTAGTAAAAAATTTTCTGTTATAATATGTGGGGAAGTATTTGCAAAACCATGGCATGGTTCCAATGGGAACTTTATATGTTGCATACCATAAGCCTTTGTTTTGAATTTCAACTATTTGATCCCAATGCTTTTTCCAAATGTGTATACTTCTTTCCTTCAATAGAGGGACTATATCAGAATGCGGTATAGAAATATTAAGACTATTGGAGGAGTCCGGAATAGTATCTGAAAAATTGGTTATAGACCTAGCTAAAAAGTCAGCTCTTTCGTTTCCTAACACACCAACATGTGAAGGTACCCACATAAATGTAACCTTTATATTCTGAACAGTGAACAAGTCTAACCAGGATTCTTTAATTAAAGCGATAATATAATTAGAATTAGCATTAAATTTATTACTTTTGAGATTTACAAGTACACTCATGCTATCACTAACTATTACCCAGTCACAACATCCCTGATTTTTTTGCTTTATGTGTTTTAAAGCTGCTAAAATAGCTAAGGCCTCAGCTGTAAATATACTTGTATTTGAATTAATTTTATAACCAATACCAGAATTTGATAGTCTATCAAATACAGCAAATGACACTGCAGACTCAGTTTTAGAACCATCAGTATACAAAAACCTATGACCAGTCAACTCAGAAAATTTCTTGTATACATCTTCTTTTGTGGATAAATCATGATCAATGATGATGTTAATTGCAGGAAATTTGCTATTATAATCTCCCAGATAACATGGGAGAAGAGAAGATCTATGAATTTGAAGTGTTTCAAGAAAATTTACATATTGAGTAAAGCCCAGGAGTAAGTATACAGGATTACGAATTGAAGTTGGAGGGGACTGTTTCAAATTTAAAAACAGGTGATTATTATTTTTACTGTATAATTTCAATAAGAACTTTTCTTTTAAATATAAAAACCTTATACTCAATGGTGGAAGTTTGCACTCAACTTGCATTACATTAATGGGAGTGCTTTTAAATGCTCCAGTAATGAGCCTTAGACTTTTATTTTGTATTTTATCTAATGTTTCTACTAACTTAGTATCACCAGCAAAACAAAGNGGTTTTGCTTGTTTATTTTTCTATCCCATCAGTGCAATGCAATGATGACATTGACCAATTGACAATAGTTTTTTTTATTTACAAGAAATAATAATGGCAGGTTGAACCAACAAGAAGGTTTTAGTTTATCAATCATAATCTTCTTGACAAGATAAATCGTCAAACAACTTTGATCTGAATAATTTTGAACTTTACTGACGAACAGTTAAAGATTATTTTCTCTAACTCGAGATTATTCTGTAACATAGTTTCAAAAGGTAATATGTGCTCGCGATTCGTTGAAGGAATCAATTTGAAAACTGACGAACCTTTTCATTCCGTGACTGTACAATAAGGACTGAGTTTCTTGCACTGCTTATTCTCAGCACTGGCTTGCATTATTATCCTGAAGAACATTTAACTGGGACGTATAAAAGTGCTTTTTGAAAGCCTAACTACAAGATAACTTTACCATCAGCTCGATCTCTCCTTCATTATAAGACGTGCCTCCTTGCGCTCGGTCGGTCAACACACACAACTCAACACTAGTGTTGAGCGAATGGATGCAGATTCGAGATGTGACAGGATAGTAGCATGAGGCTACCGGTTTTTTCTGTTGGTGGCCTGAAAAATATTGCGAATATCAATTTCCAACGACCAAAAACACTTAGTATTATGACTCGGTGTCAGCTGATTATTGTCTTTTCTGTACTAAAGACTTGTGCATTTCAAGTGCACAAATGATTAAACAATAATTTTGAATGGTTGACACTTGACTTACTAATCAATTGCCGTAGGTACCTACTTTCAAAGTGCGATTCACCAAGAATTTATGTAAGTTGACCTCACTCTCCTTATCATTTAAATACAGGGTGTTTGGCACATCGTGTGCCAAAATTATTTGGCGGATAGAATGGGTCATTTCCTATATTTTCACCCCCCATAACACGTTCCATGTCAGGCGGCTACTATCATATTAAGTTTTTTAGTAATTTCACCAAAATACCCAAATCGCATCATTTAATTTTGATTTAAAAAAAAACTACTAAGCGTAGCCTCAAAGTAAATATTTTGTTTTGACGTGCATTGATATTGGGTTGCATCAAATCTAAATTTACTGGCAAATATCATCTAGTTTTTTTTTAATTCAGCTTTGAACTTTTCCGAAAAGTTAAAAATGGACTGAACATTTAAGTTTACATGGCTATAAAAATTTTTTTAAAAGAGATAGCGATCTTCGGATTTTATCAAAACTTCTCTAGTCTATCCCCATTCAAACGGTATACTAATCTTGTTTAAATAATAACAACAACTTCACAAATTCCCTAAATTAGTGCATTGACTCTATTCGGACTGATTTGCGAAATTTGTGTTTATAGCCCCTTTTTGTGTGAATAACACGTTAAATACCTACAGGTAAAAAATATTTATCTTATGCAATGTAAAAAACCTTTTCTCTATCGTTTTTCAATGTGGATCTTGAAATTAAAGACGAAAATAATTATTTTGATCGTTTATTAATTATTACAAATTTTGTTCAAAATGTCCGCCTCGGCAACGTATACACTAAGTAACGACATCTTCTTCTAATTTAGACTGGCCCTATACAGTGGCCTGCACGTTCCCCAGACCTAACTCCGTTAGATTTTTACGTCTGGGGACGAGGTAATGAACTGGTGTACGTAACGGAAGTTCAAACATTAGAAGAACTACAACAACGAATAGAAAACGCCTTTATAGTAATAAAAAGAGAAATGAGGCTGCATACGACAACAGTCGAAGATGTCGTGAGTGTATACGTTGCCGAGGCGGACATTTTGAACAAAATTTGTAATAATTAATAAACGATCAAAATAATTATTTTCGTCTTTAATTTCAAGAAATCCACGTTGAAAAACGATAGGGAAAAAGTTTTTACATTGCATAAGATAAATATTTTTACCTGTAGGTATTTAACGTGTTATTCACACAAAAAGGGGCTATAAACACAAATTTCGCAAATCAGTCCGAATAGAGTCAATGCACTAATTTAGGGAATTTGTGAAGTTGTTGTTATTATTTAAACAAGATTAGTATACCGTTTGAATGGGGATAGACTAGAGAAGTTTTGATAAAATCCGAAGATCGCTATCTCTATTAAAAAAATTTTTATAGCCATGTAAACTTAAATGTTCAGTCCATTTTTAACTTTTCGGAAAAGTTCAAAGCTGAATTAAAAAAAAACTAGATGATATTTGCCAGTAAATTTAGATTTGATGCAACCCTATATCAATGCACGTCAAAACAAAATATTTACTTTGAGGCTACGCTTAGTAGTTTTTTTTTAAATCGAAATCAAATGATGCGATTTGGGTATTTTGGTGAAATTACTAAAAAACTTAATATAAAAGTAGCCGCCTGACATGGAACGTGTTATGGGGGCTGAAAATATAGGAAATGACCCATTCTATCCGCCAAATCATTTTGGCACACGATGCGCCAAACACCCTGTATAACATAATAATGATGATAAGTGCTAAGATGATGGCGCCAGAACAAAGTTACTGTATTAATTTTACCATTCTTTCCCACCACTGCAACTTATCTCCAATCCAAGAAACCACCAATGAAACTCAACTATTGAAGGACAAGAGTAAGTAGTCCTGGGAGATAGCTGACTGTCTAAGAACCGATAACGAATCGAAATCAGAAATTGGAGTACCTATACAATATCGATAAGCCTGAATCTCCTTCTCAATCGTTTCGCTCTTGGCAGAGTTATCGTGGTTACGTTGAGGCGTCCATGTCAATTGTAGAGACTGACCGGCTTTTTGCACGAATAGGTATAGATCGTTTCATCCACGAAGACGCGCCCCACCATTCTTCCGCTAATGTTTGAGTGTTATCGGTACACGCTAAATCATCCATGAGTGCACACGCACACTACAATAATGCCTTACGGATTGCTCGGATCAAACTCCTCGCACCCCGCGCTTCCCTCGACCAAAAATTGGTGGGGCGTGTCTTCTTGGATGAAACGAATTATAAGGTTAAATGGTTCCTTACTAGTGCTATCATTCCAGCAAGACCTCCTCATCATCTGCCGACCATTGGAGTCGGTGGAGAACTCCCCGCTGTTTGTGATGTTGGTGGAGAACACGCTGACCACTTCCTTGCCCAAGTCTGTGCTGTAATCAGAGTTAATCATCAGGTAATTGAGTCTCCATTGCAGGAGCACGACCCTTTAATTTACCAGGGGTAAATGGAAGATTTGGCCTACAATCCTCAAGCTGACCAGGTGGGTAGGGGATGAGAATCAGATATAGGTAAGGGTTTAGTTGAGTACTCATCATTATCCACTGCTGGACGCTTTCCCCCCAATGAGTATTTTCAAATCATAAAGAGTCTTTCGCTGACAAAATTCTCATCACCCTAATTTCAGAACCGGAGTTATTGTAGGAGGTCAAGACTCACTTTGAATCGCTACGCCATCTTAGTTAATTTAAATTACAACCCGATCAAGTTAACTGCGGAATGCGATTCTTCCTCCCACTCACCTGCACACCTCCCCGCGTTCGCCCCGTCCATACCATAGCGTCGATGTGACGTCACGGTTTCCAGTTCACTGTAGAACATAAATCTTCTACGAAATGCTAAAATGTCTTAGAAGGTTTTTATCATCCAAGCGCTGACAGCTCATTTTGAGCAAGGTCGTTATGGAAATCGTTGGGGGAGGTCTTTGTCCAGCAGTGGATGTCATTCAACGAACGTCAGTTCATCAAACATTAGAGCATGTCAAAGACATTTGTTTGTAGTAGAAAATAGTCGCTCACCCAAGAGGCACTGGTCCAACCACCCACTCCACTTCCAAAAACTCCTCGCCTCTATACAGCCTGATGACCTGGGTGATCCAGTCGCTGAAGCGCTGCCTGATCTCCTTGACTAGAGACCCTCGGACCGCGTGGTAAGTCACTTTTTCGGTTACCTTTAAAACATGTATCATTAAAACAAAGGTGACTGAGTTTCTTCCGCCACTTCTTCTCAGCACCAGCTATATAATGTTATCTTAGTGGCGGTAGGGCAAGCTACATTTAGGACGTGTATAAGCGCCCTGGAAAGGGCCTTATGTACTGAATAAACTATTTGATTTGATTTGAAAAAGTCTGTAAATCAATCACTTAAACCAGAATTGGGAGACAACTTCCTTACGAAACACATGATTCAATTCCTGAAAACCGAGTAAGTTTACAATTTGCTGTAAAAAATGATTTTTAGTGTAGCTCAATGCTGTGGTCTCCTTTAAACTCCTTTAAACGTTACTACAATACTAACTACTATATTACTATAGAAATGGACTGTGGTCTCTCAGTTTACTTCGGCATATGGCGTGTCGATAGATACGTTTGACGCTCACGTCGTACGCCGCGTATAGCTTTTTTACGAAACCATCAGCTTCGATATTGTCATAGTTTAATTTACATTGTGACTAAAAGACGTACCACACTTATCAACCCGGAAAAGAATCGTAACCGTATCAACTCGAGACGGTCACTATTCTTCGTATGAAACTCCATACTGAACGCACACTTACCCGCATACTAACGTAAACGCCTCGCCTCGTGATTGACAGTGCGCACAAGGCGATACGGTGTTGTTCCCTTTCCGAGTTGATAAATCTGCTATGACTTTGAAGGTATACTCACAGGTGTGGGTCTATCGCTATCAGGCCTGAAGCTATATGCCCCTGACTGCAGCGTCTGCTGGGCCTGCTTGTAGTAGTACCAGTTCTGGGACACCTGGACCTTAACTCCATCCACGTGCTGGATGGACTCCAGGAAGCCGGTGTCCTTGTTGACTGACACTCTAAGGTACTGGGAAGAAAAAGTAGGGGGGTTAGTTGTAAAACACCAGCATAGCACTTAGCTCACAGGTCTAGCGTTGAACTGAGTCAGTTTTTGAGGTGTGGGAGCGGCACATAAGGGGTGACAGAGCTGAGAGCATACAAATCTGAAGCGCATCTGAGGTCTCGCTGATTTTTGACGTCACAAATACTCCCTCCCCCGTGCATACCACAGGTACTGACTTAGTTAAGCGCTAGACGTAATATACTAGAGACAGATAGCTAACATCATAAGCAACAACATTTTTGTAGGTACAGTCAGCGTCATATGTAGTGTGTGACACCCAAAGTGGCCAAAAAGTTGACACAACAACCTTATTCCAATAATAAAACAAATAACAAAAAACCGGTCATGTGCGTGTCGTGGCACGCGCAGTGTAGGATTCCGTAGTTGTCCATCGTTACCACAATATATTATATCAGAAGCAAGCAATTACTTCATCTTCAGTTTTTCTTGAAAGTCCATAAAAAGTACTATATTATCATTAATTTTCCCAGATTTTTCAAGCTAACAGTTTAGTTTTTAAAGGGGGGGGGGGGACCCTAACTGTACTATGCTTTTGTAAATACGAACAATACGAGTATGTACTGAAAACTCACCTCGTTAGTAATGTAAGGAATAACTTCCATATCTGCCTCAGAATTTGATACTGAATGTTTCTTAGCGTAAGAGTTTTCTTCCTGAAATAAATAAAAATAATTATTTTGATTTAAAGAAACTGAGAGCTTATTATCCGAACACCAGGCCTCCCCAACCCGTCTGGCCAGCGTGGGGAGTGTAGGACAAATCCTCTTGCCTCTGGTCAATTGGAGGGTCGTGCTGCTGCAGTGGATACTAAATGACCTGATGATGTAAATTCTTCTAAACAGTTCCACACTTACCAACGGGTCTTTCACATGTGTAAATAATAAATATGCAAACATCAGGCCTCTGGTCTGGCCATTAAGCCAAAGTAATTGTAATAATATGCCAGAGTCATTGCCTTTACAGAGGGTTTTCCTCCCGCCCTCTCGTAGTCTGTAAACACTAGTGAAAGAACATTCTCAAACTTGAAGACCAACTCCTGGATGATGGATTATGAGGTGATGATGAGTGGTAGCCGCTACCAACTGTGCGATGTGGAAGTCATTGGGGGAGGCCTATGTTCAGTAGTGGACGTCCTGTGGCTGAAATGATGATGATTCTTCAAAATTGTTCCACACTTACCAACTGATCTCTCACAGGGGTGATGTAGTATGCGGTGAACCCTAAAGGAGGGATGTTCTCAGCCTCGAAGACCAGATCCTGGATGGCTGAGGAGGTCCTCCCTGGGACGTTGATGACCGCCTTCGGGAGAGGCACTAGTTGGTACTCCACTTCTTCGTCTGTAGAATGGAAAAATTTTAACAGCATTGTTGTGTTCCGGCTGTTAAAGGTAAGATAGCTAGTTCCTCAGTTCCTCTATGGTTGAGGAGCATCACTTTCCATCAATTCAAATGAACGGACGACGCCGCGAGCCGCCAGTCTGCTTGTGAGTACATAATGTAGCTCATTAATAAATGTCGCGTTAAGACCCGGGTCTTTCTAAGTGAGATACAGGCCAAGAGTTTCCTCGTCCGTTTGCAGGATGGAATGCACATGGAAAATGGCAGACGAGGTGAAGAAAATTGGCAAGACTTGGAGCGAGATCAAACGCGATGCTCAAGACCGAACGCGATGGAGGACTGTTGTGGATGCCCTCTGCCCCATCTAGGGGACATAGGACATTAAGTCCGGACTTGTTCTAAGTATATCTACCTTGCTAGCTACCATATTTTATCTATAGACACAAAGTCAAGATGCGTTTCGTTAGGTGGTGCTTCAAAATGGGTCCGCTTTGAGGAATTCCTCTACAATTTACCATTATAATCCCTGATGGAGTAGTGCAGAGCGATTGCTGGAAGTCTCACGTAGTGGTACGTCTTCACGCTGAGCGGGTTGTACACCAGCAAGAGAATAGCATCTTGAGTTTCCAGGAACTGGAAAAGAAGTCCGTTATTAGTTCAATCTTCTGTGGCGATACGGCGAAATATTTGCTGTGCGGCGTCGCAACGCATAGTATGCTATGGCTATGGCTCTAACTGAGTAGGGGAAAGTAGTACGAGATGATCCCCTTAAGCGGGAATCGCTGTAAAATACATATTTTTCAAGGTAAACCAAAAATAAAGACGATTACTACTAGTATATTTATCTATCCAACTTTCCTTATACTCAAAACCAGAAATTAATTGAGGTTTCACTAAAATATTTCATTTTTTGCAAAACCTTACAAAGTGATCATCTTGTACACCCCTGTGGGTAAGATGATCCCCCAGGTAGGGGTAAGATGATCCCTATGATTCTGTTCTATGATCTATTCTTTTCTGGTTATATTCCTTTCGGAGTACCTAATTATGCGAACAAATCGTTAAAAAGTTAGAAAAGAAAAACATTTACGAATTAAATAACGAAAATAACTGATTCTTTCTTAGTACCTGCTAAAAAGCGTTTAAATAATTGAAACGCTTTTTGGCTGGAGCTGTGTTGAATATATCACAAATAAATTCACCTGCTTCATCACCCTCTACCCCAGCATTTATGCTTTATGGCCCCATTTTCCACATGCATAACATTTTATCCATCCTTCACTCTTGGTATCGCTTGAAAACTTTTCTGTTCAGTACAGCCACTCAGTATCATCTCCTTCAGACTCAGGTGAGTTATATGAAGTTCTCTTTCTTTTATTTCACTTCCCTTTACCTACTCCATTAACTTTTTTGTTTTAATTCCCAGGGATGATCTCGTACATATAGGAAGGGATCATCTTGACCCAAGTCCCACTTTTTGTTAAATATTTGCTAAAATAATCTACAAGTACGCGGCTACGTTTTTATGGCCAAAATATTAAAATTGAACATAATAGAAAGCCTAACGACAATAGTAATTACATTTAACATTGTTTGAATAAAAGTAACATAAGCTCAAAGTCATGCCTATTTTAGATCAGAAGTATACAATTTTTCTTTTTTCTTGTCAAATTCGATGTATCGCTCACGCCACCTTTACGATTTGACTGAGGCGGGGATGTGTCCAGAGCTATGTTTTACCAGTGAAAGAAATTAAATGACGTTAGTGGTTTCAGCACAATCGCGAAAGATCATCTTACCCCAGGGAATCAACTCGTACTACTTTCCCCTAGGTTCCTGTCATAATGCATGAAGCATAAAGCATGTGACTTACGTACGTTTTTTATTTTGTAAAATAATGGAAATAACTTTTATATTCAGAACCTTCTAGCGATAGAAAAAGATTTTGCTTTCATGATTACTAAAGGCGTTAGGTAAATGAATAAAACCAAATAAATAAAGTATGTGTTATACACGAGCAGCTAGTATCGCCAGCTTTAAGCTGCGAATTCATAGTAAACTACAGTATTCTATGAAAACACATGCACGGAGACTATGCTTTGGGCGGTTGGCAGCAGGGATAAATTTCAATTGACTATGCAAGAGTGGTCCGTGTATGTTTATCATTGGCTAACTGCTCGAGCTGCCCATGTATGGCGGGCCTAAGGGGCAGATAAAAATGACTGAGTTTCTTTCGCCAATTCTCAGCGCCAGCCGATATGACTTATCCCGAAGTGGTAGTAGGGCAGCTATATTTAGGACGTGTAAAGTACCATAAAAAGCGCCTACAATAAAGAACTAGAATTTGCTAAATTAATAAAAGTCAGTCATAATGGAAGGCGCTGGATGCAGGCCGCTACCAACCGGTCATTATGGAAATCATTGGGTGAGGCCTATGTTCAGCAGTGGACGTCCTGTGGCTAAAATGATGATGATGATGATGATGATGATGATGACTCACTCTACATTGACTAACGTTCATCTGGTGGCACGTCACGAACTGCTGATTGTTCTTCGACCTTCTGCTGCTGCCCCAAGTTGGCGTCAGGTAGCTATTGAGAAAAACAAAGATTTCTCAATAAGTAAGTAAGTATGTAGGTATCTAAAATAATACCATACCTCCTCTGTGACATAATGGATGCAATAAATAACTACTTAATTGAGTATTGAAAAGTACCTCAAAAGATTTGAAACCTTCTTGCTGCAGGTATCCATCGCCTCGCTCAGGAGTCTTGTGAAATCATTCGCTACATGTTGCTGACTTGTTCCTGTAATAAAAATTAATAATTTATTTATAAGAAAGATTTTCTAACAAAACACCACAAATACCAAAACGTAAATACGACAGTAGCCGAAATTACGAAACTGCCAAGTAAATAAACATCATTAATAGCTAAAATATGTATCTTAAAATGCAACTTACACAGCTATTTTGAAGGGGATATTTTAATCATCATCATCATTCAGTCTCCATCCTGCAGTGGGCTACCTAAGAAAACTCCGACAAACTTTACTTCGACATTACGTTACTCCGACATTTCTGAATATCGACATGACTTTACTTCGACACTACACTACTCCGACAAAGGATATATGGCTTCAGGGGATCATGTTCAGCAGTGGACGTCATGTAGCTAAAACGATGAAGAAGAAAGCCTGATGCTTGATATTTAGCAGCCGATATTGATGATGATGATGCTCACCAGTAATGGCGTCATGATGGAGCGTCAAAGCCACAGCGTGTCTGAGGAGGTGTAACTCGTAAGAGTCACCAGTGCGGGCTATCACTGTGATCTGTTTTACCACCTGAAAGAACAAAAATATTATAATTATTGTATGTATTACATTCATCATTATCACTGAACATAGGCCTCACCCAATGATTTCCATGTCAGCCGGTTGGTAGCGGCCTGCATCGCAGCGCCTTTCTGCTCTATGACCTATTTTGTACCTTTAATATATCTTCGTAAGATACACCAAGGTATAGCAACAATGCGTGTTGTATGATGTGACATGTATGTATGAATCTTTTGGTCTCAATATGCCAACCTTTAAGCCAGTTGCTAAGCTAAGTTAGTTGTGTGCATACTGCAAACTATCGCCCTTCACAAACAGTGAAGTATCAAATCGAACGCACAGCGTTGAAGAGCACTGTGATTGGTTCGTGTGTCACCCTGTGCGTGCACGCGCACTGTGAGACTTCACAGTAATGTTTGTGAAGGCGTATGCAAACACTATGAGAAACTGCGTTAGCTACGAACTAAGCTATACTAACTCAGCTTACCTAGTTCTTCTGCAAAAAAATAGTTATTTTGGGATTCCAGCAATTACCTGAAGAAAAAGATGCGCCCTTCTAGCCAAATATTTGAGGGTAGGTCTAGAACTGTAGTACCCAGTCCAATACGTAGAAGCGTCGCTACCATATGGCACGTGATCCCCCTGAAATCGTAAAAAACATTGTTGAATACAGGTTAAAAAAAAAACCAATCAAGTGTGAGACAGCCTTAATACTCACTGAGTCTCTTATTAACCGACTTCAAAAAAGGAGGAGGTTATTTTGTTCGACTGTATGTATTTTCTATGTATGTTCACCGATTACTCCGTCAGTTGTGGACCGATTTTCAAAATTTTTTTTTCTTTTTTTGTAAAATTTAATAAAAAAAAATAAAACCGACTCCAAAAAACCTACACTAAAAAGTAGAAAAATAATTACTAATTACCTACTTATTTATTAGGACGAATTAATATTTATGTAGGTATACCATGATTGATACTTCTGGAGTCGGTGCCAAGATTATGAAACATGTAAAGTTTGCCTGCACCGACTCCAAAAGTACTTTTTAGTGTAGGTTTTTTTTCATTCTGTTCGAGATAAACTGCGCACCTCGCTGGAATGCGACTCTCCCTCGCACTCACTCGCACCAGAGCGTCGATGTGACGTCACGGCCGCCAAGTGCGTAGTTAACAGACGCGACCGGGTTGAACACTACTTAGTTTTTTCGCCAACAGAATTTTATTGCTATAAAATTAAGTGGCAGTAGGCGTGGCTCATAGCTGTACAGCTGATGTCCGCAGAAAAGTTCTCGAATGGCAACCACGGGCCGGAAGACTTAGTATGAGGCAGACCCTCACTAGGTGGACAGACGATCTGGTGAGGGTCGCGGGAGATGCCTGGATGCGGGCATCGCTGGACCGGTCGTCATGGAAATCCTTGGGGGAGGCCATTGTCCAGCAGTGGACGTCATTTTGCCGAAACGAACGAACGAACTTACTTTTTCAGTGTACATAGCTTTGTCCCTTCTCCCATACAAGTAGATGGCCTTCAAATAGCAAGATGGCGACGAGTAGAAGATATTGATGTCTGACAAGTTAGCGGGGTGGGTGTTGACGTGGCTGGAAAGTTATAATTATTATCGAGACTGTAGGCAGACTGTAGGTAGACTGTAGGTATATCTATTGAGACTATTCTGAGAGAAAAAAAAACAAGGGGTAGAAGAGAGATAAAGAGAGGGAAAGGGGTTAAGAGAGAGATAAAGAGAGAGAAGGTAAGAGAGAAATAAACCGGGGAGGGGGAAAAGTGAGAAATTCATTGGAAAGGATACATGAAAAACATTAAAGAAAAATGTTAAAAAGTTACAAACATGTCAATGTATTTAGGTTACTATCTTAATTTACTAACTTTAGCCTGCACCTTCGCCTACATGAGTTTCGGTATATAAAAAAGTTGAAAAAACGGGAAATATTATTCAAACTATTTACACCCGTATGAAGTCGCGGGAACAGCTAGTTTATAATAATATTAGCGAGATACTTGATTAGAAAAGAAAAGAAGATATCTCTGAATTTCAATTCAATCCAGTTTCATCAAACAAACTGTAGATAGACTAACTTGATAAGCTTGTCCATATTCATGAACCAGTTGGCCGCGCTCTGGTACGTGAAGTCGCCGCCCATCGTCACCATGATGTTGTCGTGGTCGTAGTACTTGGCTTGCCGCTCTATTTGGGCTATGAAGTCGTTTACCTGAAGAAAGAAGGGTCAATTATTTAGCAACATAAGGGTTTAGAATTGGAGGTTAGATACAGTGGAAAATAAATTGACTACTGCTACTCTTCCCGTGGACATCGAAGTGACTCAAGGAAGGACAAAATATTAATGTGGACATCAGGCGTCCCCAATCCGTCTGACAAGTGTGGAGAGAATAGACTAAGTAAATCCTCTATTAGGGATTGAGTTTCTTGCCCTGCTTCTCAGCTCTGGCTCACTTATTGTCCCGAAGGAGTGTTGGAGTTTAAATAATACTGGGACGTGTAAAAGTACCTATTTTTTGAAAGCTTATTTGCAATAAATTACTTTTATGATTTTATTAACCTGTAGTGCATTAGAGAGGATCGTGTTTCTGAGAGGCTTGATGAGGACATCTTCTACTGCGTGCGATTAGCTCCTCTGAAAGGAATGAGTATTCCCTGGCCAAACGGGTTGGGGACTTTGGGTAAACCTGTTGTTCGCATTCCTTAGTCGTCTCTTACGACATCCACGGGAAAAGTGGACATACGATAATATTATGTCAGCTATCTGAAACATTATCAAGAACTAAACCGACTCTTACCCTTCTCTCAGCATTGTAAACTTTGTTGTCAGGGTCGTCGATGATCGGCTCATCATTGCAGAGAAAGTCGAAACAGAATCCATCAGGGGCATTGTACAGGTTGAAGAGAGTGTGCGTCATGATGTCCGACATCTTGCCTGTAATATACACACTGGTTGGGTTATTGGCGGTCAAGCTGCAGATCCTGGCTACACAGGAGTTGCAGCGGTGGGGACGAGAGGTGGGAATAGTCCCGTTTTAAAACAACACAACTGGGACTTAAGGATGTTTCAGCCAAATGACATCCACTGCTGGACAAAGGCCTCCCCCAAGAATTTCCACAACGATCGGTCCAACGCTGCCTGCATCCAGGCGCTTCCCGCGAACTTTACTATGTTTAAATTATACAAAAGGCAATCGTTACCGACTGATTGAACTGTCAACACAGATCTCAAACCACTGAACGAATTGCGCTGAAATGCACGCATTTAGTTATTATGGATCCGGTAAGAAAGGATTTTCGAAAATTCACTTTATATTGCGAGCAATAGCTGAAGCTTTAAATTCTACTTATCATTTTCTTTTCTTGATACTAAATAATAGTTTTTTCTTTCTTTACTGTTCAAGCTGTCTTACCCAAAACGTCGCTGCCTCTCCACATGAACTCCATTCTGTCCTCTTCTATCATGGCTTCCCTTTCTTTATGGTCTACTCTTCCTGGGGAATAAAAAAGAGAGGTGGGATTAGTCCCGATATACAGGGTGCGATTATTTTTCTTGTAATTACCTTCATATGTACTACCACCACTGAGATGGCGTTGTTTTACAAAACCACACCCTGTATACCATGTTCAGAGTTCACATCAAGTCTCTCCAGCTAGCCCCACGCTAGTAGGAATGTAGGTCAAATCCTCCATTTGCCTCTGGTAAATTAGAGGGTCGTGCTCCTGCAATGGAGACTAAATGACCTGATGATACCTATAAAGAGTCCATCGAAGCCCATCTGTGCTAACAGCGAGGCCTGCTCTCGAGTATGGCCGTAGGTGTCAATCTGCCACGCTGCTTTCGGCTTGCCGCAAATGCCGAGCGTGTCGTTTAGTTTTCTGTAACAAAAGAAGAACGGTCACGCCCCATCCAAAAAAAACCCAGTCCCGACAGAAACGAGACATACCTCAGTTTTTTTGTCATGTCTTAATTAGTTAAATTATATATTTTTTATATTCGAAATCTATGTATAACACCAAAATATTACCAATTGTTTTTGTTCAGGCGTTATACAAAAACTAATACAAAATGCCTATTTATCACCAAAATTGGTAAATGTATGTACCTAAATGTCTATTACAGCTGCTTTGGGATGTATCTAGGTGACCTGGAGATACAGCCGGATTATATTTTGGTGTTATACATAGATTTCGAATATAAAAAATATATAATTTAACTAATTAAGACATGACAAAAAAAATGAGGCATGTCTCGTTTCTGTCGGGCCTAGGTCACAGATGACCGTTCTTCTTTACTGTTCAGCGAGATCAATTTTAGCAAACTATCGATAGATCAATCAAATTAGCTACTCTATTGTGTCAATCTATCCTATCGACTAATACAGAAGAAATAATAGGCAGTTACTGCTAGCAAGGGCTTCGCTAGCTACCTACTTCTTCTTGCACTTATACCACAGAACTATCACGAAGAAAGGCAGATCTAATATTTTAAAGTAATTAGGACTATAGGATACAGTCACAGAATATATGGTCAGTTATTAAAACAGTCTAACAGATGTAGTCGTATAGTTATTCGAAGATCAACATTTTGACGACAGAATTTCAAGCCAAATACTACCTCTACTGCCACACAGACAAACCAGGGATCACATCAATACCGAGATAATATTACCCTAAAATGGATAAATAAAGAAACATGACGGCAGACTCCTGAAAGCATGCCTTCCCTTAGATCCTAACGCGTTAGCGATGATTAGGATGGGTCTCCTGGGGTCGGCTTATCCGGCCGGCCCGGTGAGGTCCCTCTCACCCAAGCACTTGCTTCACTTCATGGATAGGATTCTGGCGGATGAGAGGGAATAAAGGTAAAGGGAAGCACAATTAAAGCCAAAAGAGGTAAGATAGCCAGTTCCTCCGTGGTTGAGGATTCCGGGAGAAGCTTGCTACCACCTTCGGCCTGATCGTCACTTACCATCAGGTGAGATACAGGCCAAGAGCTTCCTCGTTGTGGATAAAAAAATCCAATGGGTCGACCCTGAATAAGTTCAGATAAGATGGATCCTTATGAGGTTACCTGAGTCCCCAAGTATACTGGTCAATCAGTTGCAGGTAGTCCACCGCCGCCTCGTCGTTCTGCACCCAGCCCCCTCCCGCGAACTCCACCCTCCCCTCCTGAACCAAACTCCTGAAGGTCGCCCTGGTGAGTGGCCTCTGTTCTTTCCACCAGCGCCAGAAGTAAGCTGACTCGGAGAAGGTGAACCTAGGAATTTAAAAGGAGAAATAAAAAACCTTTTTTTTCTCCCTCTCTCTCTATCTCTCCTGTCTTATGTCTTTTTCTTAGCCACTTCTTCTCAGCATCATCCAATACGTTTTCCCGAAGTTGTGGAAGGGCAAGCAATATTTGGGCTACATACGTACATAAGTACCAATAAATCAATATGTTTATTTTTGACATCACAACAGTTCATGAATGTATCCTGTTTAAAAATCACTGTAGAGGCATAACGTAGGCGCCTTCTTTGGAATTAATAATGTCTTCTTACAGAAGATGATTTTAAGCTATGTTAGATTGTAAGGCGTTCTCAATTACTTGCCTTTATAAGTTACGATCACAGATCACAAGACCTAAAGGCTTACGACCAAAGTCTAATGTTAGAGGACGCTACTGCCTATCGATTTGACCTCCGTACGTAAAGTTATTCAACACAAATTATTGTCCCGAAGGACAAATGGGTAGTGCTGAGATGAAGTAGCACATAGTGATGGCCCGCGTTCCCGACTCATATGGCTACCGAGGGCAACGTCATGTTTTTAGTGGGTAGGCCCTGCCCTTCTGGCAGAGAGAACCCCACATAACCCACTAGCTGCCCCCGCGGCTGGTGGGTATACAAATCAATGTATTTTCCTGACGAAAAAAAGCGCTGTTGTGCTACTGTTATGATGTGTTTTTATGTACCTCTATCCCTCCATGTATTTGTGTGATGACTTTAACTTATACTTACTTCCTTCTCTTGTCGTGGAGCAGCTCAGAGAGAACAGAATGGAAGATCAATTGGACGTTTGCAGAGCTGACGGTAGTTCGAGCTGTAAATTAATTAAGTTTTAAAACGCCATCTATACGTGTATTAATACTCCAAAAAGTATGAGTAGATTAAAGATAAATCAAGAAAGAAAATAGGTGACTAATCCTTCTTCTATTTCCCACCACTGCAACTCTTGCACAGCCTTCCAGACTGGATCTACAGTAGGGTTTTCATTGGCGGTCAAGCTGTAGGAATAATCCCCAGATGCGACACCCATATTGCTTGCGTACGTGATGATTTAGATCGATTTAGAACTTATCATGGCAAGTTTGAAACTCTCAAGTTTTTGGGTGGTTATTGTAACTTACTTCCATAGTAATATTCGTCAAAGGTCTTCACCCAACCAGCGTCCATGTGTGAGTGAGGAATTAGATGGACGTTCAGCGCTCCCTCTCTTGTCAGAGGACATTGCTGAAACATAGAGAGATGCTTAAAGTCGAAATGTTTATGGAAGATAGTCTCACAGTGCGCGTAGACGCACAGGGTGACAATGACACACGAACCAATCACAGAGCTCTATTCAACGCTGTACGTATGATTTGCTGCTTCGCTTGAGCAAGCATCGTTTGTGAATACGGGCGTAAGTGTTAGATTTAGCGTAATTTAATACTTGTTTCATTGCTAAAATAGCCTTAATATCAAATTATTTAATGTTATGGTCATGATAATGGTCATGGTCATTTCGTTATTTGAACGTTTCTGTTGAAATAACGAAATTATATTTTAAGTAAGGTATTGCATTATTTCGTTATTTAAACAATTCCATTTAAATATCGAAATAACCGTCGTATTTTATTTTACATGTTACGTTACTTCGTTATTTTAACATTACCGGTAAAATAACGAAATAACCGTTATTACTTTATTTTTCCATGTTGGCAACACTGTTTTTAGAAGTTAACATTAACGATCACGGTGAAAATGTATTCACTTCTTTGCTAACCATCGAGCAATAATTATTGGAAATATAATTTCTACCCTGCACCTCGTGATTTTATTTCTGAAAAAGCTGGTCAAGCTTTTAATAAGCAGTACGGAAGTAACTGTACTATGCCTGTTTTCTTTAGACTTGTAGTAGTCTTGATAGGTTCCATAAAAAAAGAAAAAATGTAATTTTCAAGGATATCAATCTTTATTTAGAAAAAAATAGTAACAACTCATTAAGAATGTATCAAATATGTACCTTAATCAATACAATTATACAAATGTGTGAGCTGTTTGAAATACATACACGCAAATTCACGCAATTTATCCATTCGTAAACAAAACTATTTCAGAATGCTGAATAACATAGCGGCAATTGAAAATATTCACTAGTCAATGTGTACGATCTAGGCCTATTGCAACAAACAACCTAGATCGTACACAAGGTTACACGCAATTGCATACTTTGCCGAGTTGAAAGTGCACCGCACATCGTTTTACGCGCGAGGGACTCGCAATCATACGCTGCGGCGTGCAAAGGGCGCGTTTGATACGGGATATGCACTCGTTGGGGCAATTTCTATCGTTTATTTATTGTAAACTCCACTTACAGTTTGTGCCAAAGCGTAGAATGAGCCATTTATTGGTCGATTATGCATACAGTAATTTAAATTTCGATCTTGTTACGGGATAAAGTGGGAACGAGTCCATTCGGCAAAAATTTACCAAAAATGCAGCTAAAGCCTGGTCCGTGAGCACGTACAATCCCGTCCAATGACCCCAAGCTGCTATTTATATTATGAAATAGCAATTGGCATAGTGAGGGATGCTTCCTTGCTTGATTGAGTGACTTTTTTTTAGGAAATAAATTAAGAAATAAATAAAATTCATCATTTACACAATGGTACAGGTTAACATTCTTGAAAATGATAATAGAATCCTACATTGGAAAATCCTTTAGTTCCTTTTTCTCCGTTAATATTGTAAATCTATGCAAAACAATTCAATCCACTACTTCTTTCTCTCATACTTGAGCTGCTGCTTTTTCTCGGCTAGACTAGATTTACATTAATTATGAAAATGATTTAGCGAGGTATTTAAGAATAGGGACTTTATCATCAAAAAAGAGCTCCGCCAGCTGAATGAAAACTTAGAACTGTACGCGGACAAGATGAGCTACATAGAACAAGAGAACAGAGAGTTAAAAGAGAAGGTAAAGAATTTAGAAAATATAAACAAGCATCTATCAAATAATAACAAAAATCTTGAAACACGAGTTGCAGCCCTTGAGCAGAGACATAGTGAATTTGAGCAAAGTCAACTAAGTAAGCACGTAGAAATCGTAGGAATACCACCACAACAAAAAGAAAACATAAACCAGATTGTTTCAAAAATTGCACTAAAACTGAAACTTGACACAAAACTGGTGAAATCTGCGAGCAGAATAAATACCTATAAGGGAAAAGCATCCTCCATCAAGATAGAACTTACTGACGAACAAGAACAACACCTGTGGCTCCAAAGTGCACGCACGACGAGTATCATACTCAAGGATATAACCCCAGAAATACAAGATAATACAGAAAACGATAAGATTATCATAAGACCGGCCCTAACCAACTTCAACAAAGAACTCCTCTGGCAAGCTAAGCAAAATCTCAAGGACGCAGGATTCAAATACATCTGGCAAAAAAACGGAAAAATATTGGCTAGAAAGGACGACAAGGAGAAGGTACTACATATTCGCAATACTGAAGATATAAAAAAACTAACAGGAATTGTAAAGAAAGATTAAGTATCTTATCTGGTTCCTACTCTTATTCTTAAATATTCATATTTGGCTACATATTATAAATACTAATTGCTTACAACTTCCTCTATAAATGGCCTCCAATATAAATGAACTTAAAAATGTAACAAACCTAACTAAGTACTTTAACTACCTACCTAGCCCTCATCACTTAAGTATTATGCATGTAAACATACGATCCTTGTACAAGTATTTTTCAAATCTGTTGCAAAGCATTAGCAATGTTAAAAATAATCTAGATGTAATAATTGTAACTGAGGCGGGTATATCAGAAAACGTAAAAAGTCTTTACGAAATCGATGGCTATACAATGTACACAAAATTAAGAAAAAATAAAAAGGGTGGGGGTATCATTATCTATGCCAGCAATAAAATAAAAATCGAATTAATAACTGATAATATCTTACACTGCGAGAGCTTAATTGCAACAATTGGGTATCAAAACAGCAAAATATTATTATACGCACTGTATAGACCACCTAACTGTAATAAAGATATATTCCTAAGCGAACTGTCAAACCACTTAACTCGTTACTCCAATAACAAAGATGTAATACTCATGGGAGATATTAATATAAACATTCGAATCCATAATGGCACCAGCGATAGGTATCTCAACACACTGGCGGATCTAGGTCTACTGTGCGGGATAACTGAATACACTAGAATAGAACTATTAAATCGGAAAATTACACAAAGCTGTATTGATCACATTTTCTGTCGCATGCACACAGGGGACCTATTCACCGCCGCGCTCGACACCACACTGGCGGACCATCGCATGATCGTGCTATCCTGCCTTGGAATGCAGCGAATACAGAGTGTGCCCAAATTTACTACATTTGACCATAGGGTATTGTCACAAGAGTTAAATAAAATAGACTGGAAGGACGCGGAAATCATGACGTCACCTAACGAAATTTATAACTATATAGAAGTTAGCCTTCAGGAATGTTATGAAAAATCAAAAATAACTANACGCATCAACTATGGTTAAATATTTCTCGCTTTGAATGCTGAGTAAATCTATGTGTACAATTTCGAATGGTTTGGTAGCAGGAGGAACGATGTTAAACTTAGGTTTTATTGGATTACGATCGTACTTGGCTTGTCCGCAGATAGTACAGCTATTTATAAATTTGCTGATCTCATCCCTCATCTTAGGCCAGTAGTAACGCCGAGATAAAGCCAAGTGACATTCGTTTATACCACGATGATTGGTTTTACCATCGTGATATTGTTTTATTATCTCCTGTTGCCTGAGATATTCTCTCACGTTCTCGACTTCAGTTTTAGTTAGTACTAAGTGCATTGCTGAATTTTTAAACGTATTTTGAATAATTGGTATGATGTCATACATTGCTAATGGGGGATTTATCAATAGAGCAGTTTTTACTTTTGGGTTGACGTATTCTTTGATTAGATTAACGATATCGCTTTCTAAATTTGATTGGGATACTTGTACAGCGGTTCTTGTATGAGTATCGAATGGTTTGGAAGTTGTGGGACGTTTCTTGATATCACCTACTACTGATATTACGATCTGCCTATGAAATTTATTTAACGGTTCATCTACTATTGGAATTTCAAGTATAGGGTTTTCTCTACTAGTATGCGCGGATACTGTTGATGAATTAGCTACAGATGGCGGTCGTTCAGACGCGTTGACGGCCATGGAATCTGTTTCCTCATTGTGTATCTCGATTCGCGAAAGAGCATCGGCGTTGGTATTGGATTGCCCTTTTTTATAAACTACAGTAAAATCATACTCAGATAGTTTGAGTCTCCATCTAGTCAAACGTGAGTTCGGCTCCTTAAGGTTCATAATCCATTGTAATGGCTTATGATCCGTAATGATTTTGAACTTTCGTCCGAATAGATAAGGCCTAAAATATTTAGTCGCCCATACTATCGCAAGTAGCTCCTTTTCGATAGTGCTGTAGTTCATCTCGCTTTCGTTAAGAGTACGCGACGCGTAACAAACTGGTTTATCTGTACCACCAGTTCCTTGAGATAGGATCGCGCCTAGGGCCACATTAGAGGCATCTGTAGTTAAGATGAAATCTCGCGTGAAGTCTGGGTATTGTAAGATTGGATCGTTTGTTAAGAGTTGTTTGCACTTCTCAAAACAGTCGGTGTATGAGGAATCTACAATAACTTTCCTACCTTTCTTGAGACATTGAGTAAGAGGCTTAGTAATACGCGCAAAATCCGGTATGAATTTTCTATAATAACCAACGAGACCTAGAAATTGCTTGATTTCTTTAGATGTCCTTGGCAACGGATATTTCTGGATAGCGTCAATTTTGTCGGGATTCGGTTTAATACCGTCTCTAGAGATGATATGCCCAAGGTAAGCAGTCTCTAATTTGAGGAATTCTGACTTGTCCATTTGGACTTTGAAATTTGAATCGCGTAATCTTGAGAAGACCTTTTCAAGGTTAACCATGTGTTCCTGTAGGCTGGTGCTGAAGACGACGATGTCATCAAGGTATACTAGGCAGACAGTATTCTGAAGGTCTTTAAGGACATTGTCCATCACACGTTGAAATGTAGAAGGAGAATTCTTTAGGCCCATCGGCATACGTAAAAATTCATAGTGCCCGTTCTCTACATTGAACGCGGTTTTGGGAATGTCATCAGGGTGCATCTCTACTTGATAAAACCCACTTGCAAGGTCGAGGGT